ACTCACCCCCCCCCCCCCTCAAAGTTTGATTTTCAGAATCGAATTGAACCAAATAAGAATCAATTGGTTCATGTTCAATTCCCATTCTACAAAAGATTCTATTATTAAAGGACCATTGATTTTCGATTTAAAATCGAAACCGAACTAACCATGCCCATGCCTAGCGGGAAGGTTAAGAAAGCAGACAACAACTCGCTGATTTTGTATAATATTTATTTGGATAACAAAATTGAAAAAAGTAATGTTATTCATTATTAACGGTGATCATTACTGATTGAAGTGGCCTTGTGCCCATTGCCAACTAGACAAGCTCGATAGATTATTATAATAAAAAAAAAATGACAAGATTTTATCAGGGAATGAGTCAAACATGCACCCCTTTAAAAAATAATAATAATAATAATAACTTGCACCCCGTAAACGTGCTCAAAATTTTTTATGCAAACGAATCAAACTTTTGGGGGAAAAAGTCAAACTTTTGGACAAGATTTTAGATAAATGGTCACACATGAAAAATAATTTAGTATGGTGTGACAAGTTAAATTGAATTTTACAATTCATAACTCTAAATTGAGACCTACGTGAGCGTTGCATTCATACACTCCTCGCTGTAATGTTCAAAAATGGCATCTATATTCTTTAATTTATTTTCTTGGAAATGAATTGTATTTTCAACATTTTTTAAATGGAAACGAATTTCCTATAAAATTCAATATTACACTAAAACATAGAGAAAGTTTCCAGAATCACTTATTTATTTATAAGATATGTACAAAATCCACATAGCACTAAGACAATATTTGATCAAATATATATTAAAATAAAATACTAAATGATTATTTAATTTCCAATTCAGGAAAGAGTTAAATTCATTACTTTGGATAATTAAATAATTTTATCGCTAGATGATAGGAAAAATAGCCCCATGTTGTCGATGGCAATTCAGTAGTATTCCCAAAATCACTAGTCATTTATTTCACAAATTCTTGATTGGTCAAGCCAACCTCCAATTCTACCCACCTCCAACCAGCAACCCTCGACTTCAATACCCTTTTGTGTGGTGAAACTTCAACACCTCGCTAACCCATACATATAAACCAACTTCACTATGTGGAAAAATGTTTGTGCCAGCTATTTCGTCTTGAACACGTTATTTATTTAGGGATGTGATCATGCGTGGAACAATGTGTTCGAGTTAAAAAAGAGGATGGTTTTATTAAGCTATATTGTCTTTAACACGTTATTCACGTGAAATTTTACTTTAATACTGATCACGACTCACTTGAGAAAATTTATAATTACTCAGGACAATAATAAAGAAGGTAGAGAAACTAAACTATATCATCTTTAACACGTCACTCACATTGTCACTATATAACATTACCTTAAAATGATCATAATTTATCTTGAAAGATTAGTCTTAAAATACAACTACTCGTCTGAGTTTTGAATAGCTCACTACCAAAATAAAAAAAATGCAAACCCCACGAAGCCATAGCCCACCTTCTTTTAACAACAGTTCCTATATAAATTCAATTTCCCTCTGCTCTTCTCCTAGACATAAACTCCTAATTTGTTTCTTTTTCCAATTGCTCAAGACTATTTGTCTTCAAATCAAAGGTTGGTACATTTTGTTCAGTTCTTGCACTCCATTTCTAACCTTGTTCATATCTTCGTTCCAGTATGCGGGTTATGTAGTTCTGTATTTCTTGTATCTGTTCTGTAGTCATTTTCGTATGATCTAGGATTCCAATAAGTGTCTGTTATTGGAAAAACGGTTTGATTATCTGATTTCATTTTATTATTATTATTTTTCGATGTTCACGAGGAAACATGCCTTCATTTGTTGTTTACTGAAGCTATTGTAGGATTTAAATTCTCTTGGTAAACAGATCTCTGCTTTAACGGTCACCTACAATTTATATATGGATTCTGTTGCTTGCAATTTGTCGATTGGGTGTATAAACTGAGTAAGATATGCATTTTTGGATAAAGTGAGAATTTTTACTTGACATGCTGTAATGAGTCGCTTCTATTTTTATTTTTTCGTAAATCAGATTTCAAGGTTATTATTGTCATTCCATCCAATTCATTGCGTAGGTTCAACTGAGTAATGATTACTTTCGTTTATTATCGAAATGATCAAGAAAGAAAATTAGAGCTGATCTGGAAATTTTGAATTACACCATACTTATTGTGAGCTATTTAGCTGTGTATTGAATTTTTGAAGTTTGTTGGATATCAAGATTTTGTTTAGACGAGCTCATAAGTGAGTCTTTTAGGATTAGCTTGGACATTGGTGGGAAAATATCAATTAATTGGGTTGAGCTGCTACTATGACTATACAATTACCCGCAAATCTTATTATTAAATAGATCTTATTTGCTGGATTTCTTATTCACATATTTAGCTTATAATATTTGGAAAAACTTTTTATTTTTTTAATGAGAGTTTATAAGTGTTGATGTTAAGTTCTCATCCAGGTGTGTCTGTGGCCAAATATCACGGCAACTGGCCAACTTTTCTCGAAAACTACACGAGCATTATTTTACAATTACAAGCAATTGCCTATTCAGCGGATGCTTGATTTTGACTTCCTCTGTGGTAAGTATGAGAGTAACATCTCATGCTCTTATTTATATGATTGCCAATGAGTTAGATGCTTTAGTAGGATTTCATAATTGATCAACATTTGTTCTGCAGGGAGAGAAACACCTTCTGTTGCTGGAATTATAAATCCTGGTTCTGAGGGATTCCAGAAACTCTTTTTTGGTCAGGACGAAATTGCCATTCCTGTTCACTCCACGTGCGTTGTATTTTTTCTTATTTTTTTTCCTTTATTCAATTTGCATACAATTTTTGTTGTGACTAAAATAGTTAAGGGTATTGACTGTTTTTCCATATTGCAGTATTGAAGCTGCCTGTTCTGCACATCCTACAGCTGATGTTTTCATTAATTTTGCATCATTTAGAAGGTTTATCTTGTCTAGTTTTTGAATACCTCTGATGCCAATTTCTTGCATAGTCCTAATAGCTGTAATTGCACTGTTCTTTCAGTGCTGCTGCTTCGTCCCTGGCTGCTCTTAAGCAGCCAACAATTAGAGTTGTGGCTATTATAGCTGAGGGTGTCCCAGAATCAGACACCAAGCAATTGATTGGGTATGCAAAGGCTAACAATAAGGTAATGTAAAAATGTCTTTCTGCTCTCTGATTTGAGCAATTAAATGCATTTGCAATAAAAATTTCTTTTTTACCTGAAGGCATATTTATCATATTGCTTGTATTCTTCTCCCTTGGGGTTGCTATTCAGAGACGTGTCTGATTACGGTGATGAATGTGCTTCAGGTTGTTATTGGCCCAGCTACAGTTGGAGGTATTCAAGCTGGAGCATTTAAGATTGGTGATACCGCTGGAACAAC